GATGCAGATCTTAATCTATATCCATTAAATGAACAAAATACTATGCTGGCTGCAAGAATCATTGAATTCAAGTGTATCCGCTCTAAAAATAGAAAGTACATTGAAATGAAATGTGTATTCATCTATATTCTTTTGCAAACATACAAGCTTTATTTATTTTTTTTGTTAAAATAATTCAAATATAAAGTATATTGTCATTCTGAACTGAAATTATCAATTTAATGTTAAATATATATACTATTCATTTTTCTAAATACATAAAAACAAGGAACCTTCTTCATTTTAACTGATTTATATTTCTTAATAAGACATGATATATAGTGAAGTTAAGATGTCTAATCTCGAAGCAACTGACTAATAAAGACGTTTCAATGAAAAACAAACTATGAAATTAAAATTTATATATGAGAGTTACTTCAGATATCAAAACATTCATTTATTCGATTATTACAAGACAAAACCCATAACATAATCACATGAAGCATCATCCATCTTTGAAAAATATTGAAGAATAGATTTAAAATAATTTTAAAATGAAAGTTTGAACTAAATTATAGTTTCTACATATTACAGTATTAGTCGTATATTTGAATACCTTACGTAATATTACAAAAAAAAATAAGATTTATACTATGTTGTTGAAAAAATTCTTTTGAATATAGATCGTATATTTTCGATACGAAAATATTTACATAGATTAATTCATAATTTTAATTGTAGGAATTTCTTTTATTCGATGTGAAGATCATCTTTATAGATACCATTTAATTGATGTTTGTCAGATTTTTTAAGAATAATGTTTTATTATTAGAAAGAACAAATCTGAGTATGATAAAAGCTTCCGAAATAAATCACTTTTGTTCGATATTTTACCTACGTACAATTAAATAATCGAAAGACCATTGAAACGATGTTATATAAATAAAAGAATGTGTTGTAAATAAAATTTCGTTATATCGAATGTTAAATACCAGGAGAAGAAATATATTGATTAAAACTACCAGATTTAATCAATTAGTTACATACATTTAAACAATTTGTTTTTTCTAATAACAAGTAGTTCCAGATGTTTTTTATTCGTTTAACACTTAAACTCCAACGCATATGGTAAATGAAAGCAGACAATAAGATTAAAAAAATAATCCATATTTTATACTTTGTACCACAGTTAGTATACCTACTTATTAAATGCAATATATTGTAATGTCGAGATCCTCTCATAATTAAAATTTCAAGCATGAGATTCAAAAAAAAGCAATCGTATTTTTACATTCTATTGGAGTTGGAATTGAAAATTTAGTGCTTGATGTATATTAATGCTAAGGAGAGTATTGTTACACTTATACAAGATAAAAATCGGTTGGATGAGATATTTTCATTATTTTATTTTAGATTATTTAAAATAATCTATATGTTATCATAATTTATTCATATCCGAACAAGTCCCTTTACTAAAATCTATTTTCTTTACATAATCAACTGTCGTGAAAATGTTGTCTTTATTAAACAACATTTGTCTGACAGTATGTACTTTAATAATTCTTTTATCAATTAATTCAGTAAGTATTTAAAATTTTCGAAAATTTTTTTATATTTTTTTATTTTATTTAATAGATAAATACTGTACATAGTGCTGATGATGATGATGATAATATTTCGATAGATAACGAAGTAATGGATGATTCTGTTGTTCCACCTGATAATAGTATAATAACAGGTAAGAAACAAGCTTCGTTATATAAAATAAAATATCTATTGTTCTCTGTTTTTATTTAGAGACTCTTAAATCGAGCTTAGCATCTGTTTTGCCTGGTGATACAGTTCCGTATACAGATTTGGAGCATATTATAACGGATAGTAGAATAGAAGATGATCAATGTCAATTTCGATTTACGCATCAGATTACTGATTATCTTGCTGATAGATTTTTAGTTGGAGAAGTAACTGAATTGAAAACAATTATTAATATAAAAATTATTTTTTATGATGAATATGATATTATTGTACGTGATACGTATGGTAATCCAATGGAATGTACATCAAATCCTCATGATTTTGGACATATTATAGATGTATTACATAATGGATTTGAATTTTCATATGCTAAATGTATTTTAACATTACAACCAGATTCTAATTTTGATTTACATAATATTTTTTTTCATTTTTCACATCCATCATCAGAAAGTGAGAAAATACTTAAAAATATAGAAAAAAATATTTGATAGTTTATTTTAGATAGTCTAACAGGAGTAATTATTGGTCCAACATCATTTTCTATTGATTCAAATACACAATTGTATAAAGTATCTAAGATAGGTCCAGTAGGTTCAACTTGTATGTGGTTATTAGATGATAAGATCATCTTTGGCGGACTAGATACATCAGTGATATTAACATTTGATTTTAGCCATATTGGCAATCGAATATTATCATATGTGTGCTTTACTGGACATGCTTCTCAAACTTTAGCATCACTTCCAATTTGTATTATGCCTACTAAAACACAAGGTAACATATTGAATAAATTGATATACTAGCAGGATCTAAAATAATATTACATATATAAATAATTATCGGTCTTTTGAGTAAAAAAAATAATTATCTTACAGAAGCGATCAAGTTGCATTTGTATAGCTCATTCTGAATATGCTGTTGTACAAAAGTTCTTGTTTTTATCAGCTGATTTCTTTTCTCTGCTGCACGCCCAAATTGAACGACTCTCTTCAGGAACAGTTTAGTTGTTGAATTATAAATCATCGATTAAGAACTAACACCTCACTCTTTATCGTTCTACAATACTATATATGCTACACAATTATATCTCTATATTAGCAGTAGAGTAAACAGAATAGTATTCTATAGCTTAGCTATGAGGTTATATTCAACAAGAAATAGTCTAAAAAATCACACTAGAGAAAGCTAATCCTGAAAAACCTAGTTTACAGTTTCATTCGCATATTATACTCGTACGAAAATCTTCCTAAACGCAGTTTCAATAAAAATATAGCAAACAGTACATGCACTTCCACAAAATCGTTTCTTCCATTTAAAGATAACAAATGAAACTTTTAAAATCTTCTTCACTTTTATCAGCACCGTAATCCATATCCTAACTTTCTCCAAACCACTTAGAATTGATTCCTTTATGGTGGTAGTCTTAAATATAAACACGAATAAATATGATCCTATATAATTTGTGCATAAAACAGTTACTCGAACTATCTCTCATTCAAGCTTACTAACATAAAAAGTGTAGACATAAAATATCTCTACGACCGCAACATTGTACTCTACTTTCTTACACAATATTCATCTTTCCTTTTCCAACAAGCATTCACCACATCGATTTCGCCAATCGATACAACAGAATATGTAATCATACCCGATACGACAACAATAATCGAAACGATTTCTACAACATATATCAGCTTTACAAATGAACAAACCATCGTCACAATCTCGACCACACCAACAGCGGAATCCACCAATGTCGATGAAACATCAACTATACCTATCACAACGACAACATCGCAAACTACAGCTGAAACAACAACAACAACAACTGGTCCTACTACAACACCAGAAACTACAACTAAAACAGACACTCCTACCACAACTGAAACAAAAATATCAACCACTACAGAAACGACTACAACACCAGAAACAACAACCGAAACAACAACTACTATACAAACTACTACCACAAGTGAAACAACAACTGCCATACGTGATACTACAACTCCTACAGAAAGCATTACGATCACTGATACCAGAAGCACAACCGAAACAACAGCAGAAATTACCACAACCACTACTATAGAAATTACTACGACAACTGATACTACAACCGCAACAGAAACAGCAACAACTGCTGTAGAAACGACTACCACAACGGAAGCATCAACTACTACGGAAACTACTACAACACCAGAAACGATAACAACAATTACAGAAACACCAAGTACCCCCACAACGGATACTACAACCACAACTGGCGATACAACAACAACTACGACAGAAGCAACTACTACACCTGAATCTACGACAACTATCGAAACAATAACTACCACAATTGATACTACAACAACTACGGAATCAACAACTGAAACTACCACCATGACTGATACAACAACGACTACTATAGAAATTACTACGACAACTGATACTACAACCACAACTGAAACAACAGCTGTCGCAAGTGATACTACAACTACTACCGAAAGTACTACGACAATTGATACTCCAACCACCACAGAAGCAGTGACAACTACCATTGAAACGACTACTACAACTGATACTACAACAACTACGGAAACAACAGCTGAAACCAGGACAACTGATACTACAACCACAACAGAAACACCAACAACTCCTGTAGAAACGACCACCACAAC